AAGGACAGGCAGATGGGCAGAGGGAGCAAGGCTGCCGTCACTGTAAGAAATGAAATTAAATTGACAGCAAGAAGCAATATAGAGTCAGAAGATGTAAGTTCCGCGTGGATATAGTTGAGGAACCACAATGAAAAACGACCCTGATGACAGTTACGTACAGACCTCCTAGAAGTAATCGAGATGTGTGCAGAAAATAAACCAAAAGAGAGAAAAGACATGTAAGAAAGGGACTATTATGAAAATCAGGGGAGAGTTCCATATGCAGGTGGATTGGGAAAATTAGGTTGGTCGCTGATCAGAAGAAAAGGAATACCTAAAAGGTAGTGTTTTGGAGCTGTTTTCATAGGGCGGACTGGTGAACAGGTAATTCTGTACTTAGTGATGTGAGATGGGGCAGAGATGATTAGGGAGCTTAAGGTGAAAGAGCCCTAGGGGATAGTAAGCACAATATAGAATCAAAATATCAAAACAGGCCCTTCAGCCCAAGTGATCCTTGCTGAACTAGTCTCATTTTCCATCGGGCCTATATTCCCTTTAAACATTTCACACCATGTATCTGTCTATATGTCTTTTAAATGATGTAATTGTACCAGCCTCTACCACTTCCTCCGGCAGTTTGTTCCATACACCTACCACTTCTGTGTAAATTGTTGCCACTCAATCCCTTTTAAATCTTTCCAATCTCACTTTAAACCTTTGACTTCTAATCTTGGACTCCCGAAACCTGAGGAAAAGACCTTGGCTATTCACCTTCTATATGTCAATCGTGAATTTATATGCCTCTATAAGGTCAGCCCTCAGTCTCCTATGCTCTAGGGAAAAACAAGTCCCAGCCTCTCCTTATGCAGTATTATAGATTTATCCTGCAGTTTGAGAGGGAGAAACTTGAATCAGATGTAATGGTCTTACAGTTGAGTAAAGGGAACCACAAATACACGAGGGAGGAGCTGGCCAGAGCTGATTGGAAGGGGAGTCTCGCAGGAAAAATGGTGGATCATTAATTACAGGTAATTGTGAAGGTTAATCAAGAGCCACAGCAGAAATTCATCTCAAGAATGGAGAAACATACAAAGCAGAGAATGAATCAAACTTGGCTGACAAGGGAAGTCTCAGACAGCATAAGTGCAAAAGAAAATGCAAACAATGTGATAAAGATGAGTAGGAAGCATTTAAAAATGCACAACTGAAAAAGCAATAAGGGTGGAGAATATTAAATATAATGATAAGAAAGGTAATAACAGAAGAGACGATTGCAAGAGTTTTTATTAAGCATATGCAAAAGTTAAGAGAGAGACAAGAGTGGACATTGGACCTCTGGAAAATGAAGCTGGCGAAACATTATTCAGGAACAAAGGAATGAGGAACTAAACAGGTACTTTGCAACAGTTTTCATAGTGGAAGACACCAGCAATATGCCCACACTTCAGGAGATACAGGAGGCAGAGGTAAGTGTAGTGGCCACCACTCAGGAGAAGGTGCTGGGGAAGCTGAGTGTGTATAAATCACCCAGACCGTTTGGACCACAACGCAGGGTCCTGAAGCAGTTAGCTGAGGAGATTATAGAGCCATTGCTGGGGTAAGGGAGTGTCCCAGACAACTGATAAATGTAACACCACTGTTTAAGAATGGAGGCAGGCAGAAGACGAAAATTATCATCTGGTTAGCCTGAGCCTAGTTGTTGGTGACATTCTAGAATGCATTATTAAGAATGAGATTGTGATGTACTTAGAAGTGCATGTTAAAATAGGGCTGATTCAGCAGTTTTGTCACGAGAGGTCATGCCTGACAAACCTGTTAGTTATTTGAGCAGGTAATAATCAAGTTGGAGAAAGGAGAGACAATGGCCATGATTTATTTGGATTCCAGACAGCCTTTGACAAGGTGCCACACAAGAATCAGTTAAATAAGATACGGGCTCATGGTGTTAGCGGCTGGCAGAAGGCAGAGAGTGAATACAAAAGGGATGTTTTCTCAGGATGGCAGCCGGAGACAAGTGGAGTTCCGCAGAGGCCAGTGTTGTGACAAGAAGTATTCTCATTACACATTAATAATCTGGACGAAGGAACTGAGGACATTGTTGTTGAGTTTGCAGATGACCATGATAGGTGGAAGAACAGGTAGTATTGAGGAGACAGAAATATGGCAGAAGGACTTGGAGAGGCTCGGAGAGAGCACAGAAATGGCAGTTGGAATACTATATGCGAAATTGTGAGGTCATGTACTTCAGTAGGAGAAATGGAGGCATAGACTATTTTGACATGTGGAAAGAATTAAGAAATCTGAAGCATACAGGGACTTGGGAGTCCTACTTCAGGATTCCCTTAAGGTGAACAAGTTGGCAGTTAGGAAGGTAACTGCTGTCATAAAGTGGAGGTTGACCCGCTCCCCTCCACCCCCGCCTACCCCACCCAGAATGTAAACCAAAACACCCAAAGAGGAGCACCTCACCTTATGAGCTGTAGAAGAAGCGTGAGAAGTTGTTTAACCTGCCTTTCAGCAACTTCTAATGGTTAACTAAAATAAATCCTTGACACTCACTTTACAATCAACAAGTAATAATTTATTAATCTAACTGTAACAGTACACAAATTAACTACACTATTAACAAATGAATAAATCCCTTTCAACTTGTAACAACTCAAAAATAAAACAACATTCTAATGGTAAGCTGTTCCAATAAATACAAGTTCCACTTATATGTAAAATATAGGATTTAGTCTCTAGAAATTGCAGCCAGTTTACATCTTCTGGAATGTTCTGTGCCTTCTCTGTCAGTTCTCCTTCAGGAATGCCTTCTCCGCTGATTATTCTTTCAGGAATATAAACGAGTTGTGCACGTGGGTACCTTTGTAATTGAGATGGTGCTTTCTCTAAGACTGTTAGCTCTGGCAGATGGTAGTTAACTCTGGGGATTTGTCCAGCTGCTTCCTTCTTTTCATACCCTTAACAACTTATCAATATTTCTTACAATAGCATTGGTCCTATTTTGTCAAAACCATCAGATTTAAATTTCATTGCTTTTTGGTATCTCAGTGCCTGGTTCAATTGTTTGACTAAATTCAAAACTTCTTGTCTTGGTAAAATGCTGCTTCACCTGCTCAATGTACGGCCTTTCAATACAAATGTTTCAGTTTGGGTGCTCTTTGTGTAATTGCAAACTTTGAAGATGCTGCTCACAGATATCCATTTTAAATCTTAAACCACAGAAAAGCACATCATCTTTTAAAAGGGCTACACAATGATTTCTCCCCTAGCATTTCAAAAACACAAAATTCTAACTTCCTGCCTCCCAATCGATAAGTACTCAACCTAACTTTGTAACAGTCTTCAATAGAAAGCTGAGTCAATTCAGTTAAAGGTGACTTGCTTTTAACAAACCCAAACTGGGTTTCCTCGATTATCAAGACTTGCTTAACAGTGTTGACGATTAGCCATAATATTTCCCAACACCAAAGTTAATCTCACTCGCCTGTTGCTGGATTTATGTTTACAATTTTTTTTAAGAAACTGAAACATTTACAATATTATAAAATTACAACAATACAATCTTCTGATTCCTAAATAAATTTGAATTAGGAGAATGTTTGATGGAGAACACAATATTGCAGGGCAGCAGGAGAAAAGTGACTGGACTTGGAACGGATGAATATTCTAACCGTGCACCTCTACAGCCTCAATGTCTAAAATAGGTGGGCGATGCCACCTTCCATCTCATGACCCTACCTAAGGTGGCAATGACTCAAGTTCTAGTGTAAATGTGGCGTCACTTCCAGTAATTAATATTCTATTGACTTTAAACAGAGAATAACATAGATGAGGTTGGAATATAAGTGGGAAGGATAGATATTCTGGAGAAATTTGCAAATAAAACAAACAACAGGTTTACTCTCTGATTCCTGGATTTATTGATGAAGTTTTGTTTTTAAAAATACTTGCTTTCACTCCAGTGAATTGCAGATTTTGTTTTGATTGAGGAAACGATTTTCAACTTTTATCCTGCACTCCAATATAAATTGTAATTGCATAACCATTGACACAATCTGAATAGGCACCCTGCATAGAGTGCTAGAGTAATGACTTTTTATAAAACAGACATTTTCGTTGGGGTTTCACTGTAGATAATGATGAAAGAGCAACAAATCTGGGAGAAATGATAACTGCCACCTACATTGCAGTGTGCACCAACTGAACTGTTTTAAAAATGGTTAAATATTATTTCATCATGAATGCCACAAATGATCCGTTCACCCACCACTTCCAAATCTGAGAGGTTTTCAAATCAGTATTTCCAGCAATCTCACCCCATGTAGATGTTGATAAAGTCCTGATACAATTGCCTGTTCCAATATAAAATAAGCTGCCATAGACATTGACCTATCTTTTCCACCAATTTTATGACTGAGCAGTAACATTCTGAGCAATATGTACAGACCTGGACAAAACAAGTCCAGTTTCTCAATGTCATTAAATCATGTGCGGAAATACGTTATTGCCAAATGGTGAGAGTCTGAAGAAGATCAGTCTGATTTTTTTTTGATTGGGCCCAAAGCCCCTGAAAAGACTCCACTGACACCTCAGTGAAGTCATTTGATGTTCCAATGCGAAAACTCCACTGAACTGCAGTGAAATAATTTGGTGTGCCCCTGGAAAGACTCCACTGAGCCCAGTCTGAGAGCCACTGACTGATTCATCTCCAACACCGTCATGTAGCGCCACCTTCCGCCTGTGAAGCAACATTACAGGCAGGAAGAACCCCGGGTTCCTGCAGCTCGCAGCTCATTCGACCCAATAAATCCCTCCGTACAATTGAGCTTCTATTTGTTTCTTTTCTCCCCCTCATTCTTTCTTCCAGCTCTACAGAGCTCTTTGCTGATCTTTCAGTTCCCAGTTCCAATACACGGTTTATTCCCGGAATGTTAACTTGGCCTCTCTCTCCACCTGTGACTGAGACCGACCTCCATCAGTTTACAGCTGGTAGGAGGCAGGGGCACCGGGTGAAATTATGGGATGGATCTATCAGTGCCCTTAATCCCACAGATTGTCAGCGGGGCGGAGCTTTACCCAGCAACATTCCGTCCTGGACTGAAGTAGGGAAAGATCCTCTCAGTGAAAGTGTGGGTGAAAGTGTGGAGGTGGGACATGGTGTCCGCATTGTAACATGACACCTGTCCACCTTCATAGTCCAGGAAAACCCCGATCTTCCGGGGATTCACACTCGGGGAGAAGGGGGTCAATGACGGGGAGGTGGAGGCTAAATAACCTTTTCCGGGAAACAGCCCCACAATCCAGAATCCGGTCTCCTCCGCCGGGTGGATATTCCCTTTCCTCTTCACAGACTCCCGGGCCACTCCCAGAATCCACCAGGTCTTCTCCCCCACCTCCACCTCCCGGTAATGTCCCCCTGATGTGAATCCCTCTGATCCCAGGACACTGAGACAGGGATCAAATCTCTCCAGGGAGTCAGGGAGCGGCTGCGGTTTGTCTCCGAGTCTCACACTGGTCCGGTCCTCAGACAGGATGAGCCGGGGATGCGCTGTGTTCGAATCCAGAGTCAGAGAGGCTGGAGCTGGGGGAGAGATCAAATAACACCGTCACTGAGAGGGAGGGAGGGGCCGAGGATAGTGAGAGGAACAGATAGTGAGGGTTTAACTGAGCGAGGGCGAGTTAGATGTGGAGAGAAGATAAGGTGAGTCTGGAAAGGGAGAGCTTCAAGGAGGGGGAGGGACAGGGAAAATGGTGTGAGTGAGGGAGGGTGGAGCATTGATGAGGAAGTTTGGGTAAGGTAGAGGGCAGGAGAGGGAGAAGTAATGGAGAGGAGGTGAGAGGGCTTATTTGGTGAGAAGTGGGTGGAAAATGAAGTGCATGGGAAGAACAGACAGAGAAGAAGGGGTGGAAAGATTGGGGAGGAGAGTGAGGAGGGGAAAGCGAAGGGGTGGTTACGTGTGAGAGGTGTGGAGAATGATGGGGATTTCACAGCGAGGTGAGAAATAGGAGGGTTGAGAGCTGAGCTGTGAGCGATGGGAAGGATTATGCTGAAGGAAGGTTGGATATTATAGCATCATCTGGAGAGCTGGGAGTTGTGGGAAGAAGAGGGAATTCAAGGGATGGTAGTGGCAAGCAGGAGTACTCTGGGGCGGGGGGGAAACTAAGCAGAATATGAGCGGAGACCAAAGGGGAAGAACGTATGGCAGATATGGAGGGAGCAGAAGCACTAAGGTGTGGGAGAGAGAACTAGGAGGAGGGGACAGCGTAGGGGATTGTTACATCGTGGGGGCCAGGACGGGGACAGGAGGTTGACAGGCAGAGTGAGGCATATGTGAGAGGTGGGGAGACTGAAGGGTTTAGTGAGTGTGACCACTGCAAATAGGGCAGGTGGGGCAGCGTGAGGGAGAGGAGAGACTGAGGGAAAGGGATGGGGAGTGGACTGTAAGGGGAGATGGCTAGGTCCAGGAGGAAGACACAAGTGGGGAGGGGAGGGTGATTAGGAGAGCGAGGATGATGGCTGAGGAATGGAACAGTTAAACGAAGGTGAGAATGAAAGTAGGGGAGTCTAATGGGGAAGAGAGAGAAAAGGGGGCAATAACAAGATGAAAGGCACATGGGAATGATGGGAAAGGGTGCCTAGGAGGAGGGGAGAGCAAATGAAAGGTGAGTGAGTTCAGAGGAAGGGGAGAGCGAGGTGATGTGAGTTGGTGGGAACAGGTATAGTGAGGGAAGGCAGGATTGATAGGCAGCAAGGAAGTGGGGAGATTCAGGGAGGGGTAGAGCAGGGTTGTATTTGCAAGGGATAGTTTAGGGAAGGAGGAGGGTAGCATGATGGAGAGTGGGAGGAAATGAGGCGAGGTTTTTTAACTTCTGGGCAGTGAATGGGACAGTGGAGAGATGGGGGAAGATTCAGACGAATTAATGATGGAAGCTGAGTAAGGATGTGGGAGACAGTGCGAGGTTTTGTGAGCAGAGGTGCCTATATGCATGGGGTAGGGACGAGCAAGTAACGCGATGGAATGAAAGGGTGAGGACAGGAGAACAGCAAAAATAAGTGAACAGTTGAAGTATTGAGATTGGGAGAGTGAGCGGACGATCTGAATGAGCGAGTCAGTGAGGGAAAGAGTAAAAGGGAGGTGAAAGTTAGGAGGAATGCATGGCTGAGCTGGAGAGGATGACATTGATTGGACAAAGTTGTGATTTTAGCTCATGGGTGGAATGAGTGAGAGCTGAATGAGTGGCAGCAGAGTGAGGGCTTATATAACCGTGTGGTGAGGAGAGGATTGAGGGTAAGGGAAATTAAGTGAGTTTCGGAAGTGAAAGAGTAACAAAATAAGGCTTTGTGGGAATTATGGAGGTGAGGGAATTGGAGACTGAGGTGAAGTTTGTGTGGGGGAAGAGGAGAGTAAAAGGACAGGCAGTTCAAAAGGGACGCCAGAGTCAGAGGCTCAGGAATTGAGATAGTCTGCGTTAATGTGGAGGAGGTGAGTGAATTCAAGGACAATGTGGAGAGTGTGTGAAGAAGAGGCTTGAGTGAAGAGAAATAGGAGGGAAGTGTGAGGAGGCAAGATTTAATGGGAGAGCTATTTGGGACAGGGTAATCAGAGAGTGGTGATTGTGGAGGAGTGAACTAGAGGGGGAAGGCAAGTGTGAGACTGAGGTGGAGACTGAGGCAGAAGGGTGAGTGAGTGGGAAGATAGAGGGATGGGTGGTAAAGATGACGGCCATGGGTTTGGGTTGAATGAGGGGCAGTGTGAGACAGTGGGCGAGAGCAAAGCAAGGTTGGGGGAAGTGTGACCAGGTTGGGAGGCTGTGCTAGAGAGGACAGTGATGGAGAGGGAAGAGTGAGCTCAGAGGATGCGGGCAGTGAGAAAATGAAGGGGAAAATGTGAGTGAGATGGGAGAGTGAGCACACTATCCATGAGAGCAAGAGGACCAGGAAAGTGATGTGATTGATGCTGAGGTAGAGTGAGGGTAAAGTGTAAAATGTGAGGATAGAGAGGTGCGGGAGATGTGAAAGTGAAGTGGGAGGGTGAAGCAGAAGTGGAGGGAGAATGGGAGAGTAAGGGAGTTGTCTGCGGAAGGGGAGTATGAAGAAGAGTGGTAAATGAGGAAGGAAGAGTGAGAGAATAGGGGCACTATGGAAAGAATCATTTTGCTGCAGGGAGTAAGAGACAGTGAAGAAGGAGAGGAGATTAAAGTGAGAGTGTAGCAAGGGTGAGGAGGTGGCAGAATTTCGGGGTGATGGATAAGAGTTTGTGAAGTGAGAGAATGGAAGGATAGTGTGCAGCATGAGTGACATGACAGGAAAGGGTGTTTTCACAAGGAAGAAATTTAATAATGCAGAACATTTCTTAAACAGAGAAAAACTGCAGAATTATAAGGTGCAGAATGATCTGGGTGTTCTAATGAAAATTCAGAAAACATTAGTATGCAGAAACAGTGAGTAATAAAGAAGGCTATTGAGATGCTAGCCATTATCTTGAGATAAACTGAACATAGAAGAAAAAAATGTCATCCTTTAGTTACAGAGAGAATTGGTGAGTCCACTTCATGAGCCATAGATTAGAAGTAAAGTGAAGTTGCCAGAGGCTGCTCTCTCATCAGAGAGAAAGAAGTTTGGTGGTGAGTTTGACTTGTCAGTGAAGGAGCAGGTTTGAGAAGGCAGGATCTTCATGACATAGGACTGGAACCTGCATTGTTGCTTTCAGTTGGTATGACAAACCAGCTGTCCAGCCAACTGAGCTAACCAACGTACAAAACGATAGAGTAATATAGCAACAACTAAGGCCCTTCAACCCATTATGTCTACGTTGGTCATCAAGACCTAACAACTTCTAATCCATTTCCCAGTACTTCATCATATCCTTCTTTGGTATTTATTTTCAAATATTCATCTGAATAACTTCTTAAATATTGATAGTGTTTCTGTCTCTTTTCAGGCAGTGAGTCCTACCAAGTGGGTGAAAAATATCATTCTTAATTCCCCTGTAACACTCCTACTACTTCCCTTAAATCAATGCCCGGATTTTGAGTATTCCATGAAGGGGAAATATACCCTCATATCTTTAATCATGTGTGCATCTTAGTCAGGTTCTCTCCTCAGCCTACTCTGCTTCAATGAAAACAACCTCAGCCTATCGAGTATATCTTCAGAGTTGAACAGCTCCAGCCCAGACAAAATCTTGGTGAATCTCAGATATTCCAGCGCAGCCCTGTCTCCTGTTGGACTTTCTACGTACTGGCTTTAAAAGACCGCACGTAGGCATGTTAACAATTCTGCCCTGTCTGAGCTATTCACAATTTCCCTATCCTGGTTCATATTTGGTAAATTGAATTCTCTTAATATTATTACCATATTATTTTTACACTTCTCTGAGATTTGCCTCCATATCAATGCTTAATTGCTCTCTGACTCGAGTGCATCAATAGTACACTTCCAAAAATGTCATTGCCCGATTTTTATAAAGTTTTCCCCATTATGGCCTCAATTGAGTGGAAAATGAAATAGAAAACTACCAGATTGTACTGAACCTCAACTTGGAAGAACAGCACCTCATTTTTTCCTTTGGGGACCCTGCAGGGACCCTAAGGAGTTCAATAATTTTAGGACCTGAACATCTTCTTCAATGTCCTTTACCTACCACACAGCCCATACCCTGTAGTGACATGGGCTACTTTCAGCATAGCCAAGCCTTTCTCTCCTTTTTTGTGTTCCTGGCAAAACGTTGCCCATCCTTTTATTTGCCCAACTGTCGTTCTCTCTCTCTCAGGGTTCCTTTTCCACTGATTGCTTATTCTTTTACAATCCCTCCTCAACTCGCACCCCTGGCTCCACACCGTGTCTTCAGCATATATACCACTTTTTCCTGGCTGATATCTTGTACTGAAGAACGGTCACTGGAGCAGAAATGTTCACTCTGCTTTCTCTCCACTGATGCTGCCAGACCTGCTGAATTTCTCCAACAATTTCTGTTTTTTTTTCTCAGATTTCCAGCTTCCGCAGTTCTTTGTTTTATTTTAGGATAAATTTTGTTGTTCTGAATGCTTTGAGTTATTGATATCCAGAGAAAACAATGGACCAATGCTAAGTGGGAATAAATATGAGGGAAAAGGGTAATGGAGAATGGGAGGGGATAGTACGAAATTATTATGAGATTACTTGAAGTATTGGGAATGTAGAGCTGGGAAGTGTGGTAGAGGGAATGGCAGAGCCAGGTGTAGAGACAGTGATGAGAGATAAGATTGGATTTATGAAGTGGAGGGGAGAGTGAGGTGGAAGGAATGGGAAGCTGCGGGTGAAAGTGAGGGAGAATGAGGGAAAGTGATAGTACAGTACATTGTGGGAATGAGGGGGAAGGCAGAGTGAGAGGGATGGGAGAGACAGAATATGATGACAGAGGAGAGAGAACGTGAAGGACGGGGGGGGGGGGGGGGGGGGGCAAGAGAAAGTACAAAGTGTACTGACATTGGAAATGAAGTGAAGAAGGCAACAGCAAACAGGAGGGAATATTAAATGGCGGGCAGGAATAAAATGAGAAGCAAGAGGAAAGAGGGGAAGTGCGATAATGGATACTCATT